CTAACATGCATGTTTTTGGTCTGTGGGAGGAAACTGGAGTACCTGGAGAAAACCCACGCATGCACGGAGAGAACATGCAAACTCCACCCAGAAAGGCCCCTGGACCGGGGTTTGAACCAGGGACCGTGCTGCCTAAACATGTGTGACTCAGCAGAATTTTTTTAAAATATAGATACTGTTTATAAATCTTGTCTTAACTGTCACGTATAGAAACCTGTGCTACAAGATACAACCTAATGAGTATAATAACCTGAACCACTCATTTTTTTGTCTTGTATCCCTACTTCGTGTTTTTTCACGTATCACGGGGCTTCAGGGTGCGGATCCCCCACGATTAACGAGGGACTACTGTCATTGAGGGAAATTTCAGTTAACTTTACAGGTTTACTTTATCGTTAGTACCTTTGCTTTACAGTTCTGTTGCTACAGTTCTGCAGACAATGTTCAAATGCATCTTCTAATGGTTTATCTTCTGTAGACAATTCTGTTCAGTACATGGAAACACCATACAGGTGGAGGAGGTTTATGATGTGTAGTGGGATGCCATGTCGCTCAGGCCACCAGGTGGAGATGCAGGATAAGAAGTGAAGACAAGAAACGGTAGAAACAGTGAGGAGGAGGAGGATGAAGAGGCCTTTGTGCAGTTAGTTTCTTATGTTCTACGTTAAATAAATGTACTGAGAACAAGAACGTGTTTAATTTGTCACAGCATTACAGACCCCTCACTAAAAACTAAACTGTAAAGCCATGAAAGACATAAATGTCTGAACTCCCGCGAGGCTGACTCAACTCCAGTTTAACTGGGGACGATGGGAAAATTCCCAGAAGACCATGAAGGCAGCAGTTACCATGACAACAGTATACACAGGGTACCAAGGACTCGTTGGAAGATTCAAGCAGGGCCACTTGGTTTTGAGTGCATAAAGAAACGAGCATTAAAACCCGGTACGTTGACTATATTATTAACACGGAGCTGAAAAATGAATCAAAATACAGTTAAGAAGAGTTCAGGTTCCTTCTTCGTGTTAACAGTTGAAGAGAAGCTCAGATGTAGTTAACAAGCTAAAGCAAAGCTAAGCTAGTTGGAGACTATATTTATGTTTAATTGTTGTTGTAAAAAAAACAACACACATTTTCTTGTTGTTATTTGTTTGTTTTCTTTTATTTGGATGAAAAATGGTTTTAAAAATACAGAAAACAAAACTCATCTTAAAACATTGTTGTAAATTAATTGGATTCTTGCTTTCTGTGTATTTTGTCTAAAACTAAGTTGATGCTTTTAGTGGTACTTTTGTATAATAATATATAAGATGATAAATTATGTACTATATTTTTTTAACAATTCAGACTTGAGGAGAGACGTCCTGCACTTCAGTGGCTGTTCCAGTTTACTGAGCCACAAAATAAATAAATAAACAAATAAATACATCTTTTCACTGTTTTTGTATTTGTCTTAATCTGCGCTTCAACAGAAACTTTAGAACAACGACTGATTAAAAAACAAAATGTAATAAAATGTTTCAGTTGCTGAAAAGCTAATCAGTTGTACATTTTCACAGCTGTTTCACTTTTGCCTGATGGCTCCCTCTGATCACCTCTGGATCATTAGTGATCTGGATCTGTTGTCAGATTATCAGTGTATTCAATGTAACATGTAACATGTCAGATTGTCATGCGTGGAGTGACTATGTCGTCTTTTTGGAACCAGCTTCCACATTAAAGACTGAGCTGCTGTTGGTCCAGAAACAGGAGTCTCAAAGATGTCATCACCACGGCCTGGTATGACCTCGATGCTAAACCTCACCCCATGTAGGCACATTCAAATGAATTTATGTGGATTGTTGTAAATCTGTGTTTTAAATCAGGAGCAGAGCTTTCTCCAGGGGATTTCAAGGTTTCAGACCCAAAGACTGGTGGTAAAGCTCAAAAAACAGGCACAAAGTTACGTGTGGTGAAGAGACAGATTAATAAAGCTGTTATAAGTGTATGCACTGTTTTTGTTGTTGCCTGAAGTGTTGAGGCGGACAAAAGCCCAGAGGAGCCCGTTTCAAGTGTCACACGACCGCAGCACTTTTCTTCCAAGTGTAAAGGAAAGAGGAGACCAGCAAGAGGTCGGTGTGTGTTTGAGCTCAGCTGAATTGACAGATGCAAGTTTCCTGCCTGATACAACATTCTTATACTGCAGTGTTTCTTCTGTGTCAAACCCTTTTATCCTCAGGAGATGCACAAATTTCTGGCACTGCCAGTTGAAGAAAAAACAACCCACGCTGCAAGAATGATGACCAAGCTGAAGAATGAGCTGCTGGGAGAACTGGAGGAGGAAAATGAGAGGAAGATTTTAAAACAAACCACGAGTAGAACAGTTGTCTCTAAACCAACACCAGGTGCACATGAGCTGAAAACTGCCTTGGTAAAAGGAAGAAACTCAAACATCATGAAAGGTTAAAGAAGGTGCAAAAAAGATTGAATCATGTTTGTTCTTTCAAATATATATTATGGTCTGTTCTCTGTTCACAGAAAACATGACAAAACAAAGCAAACAGGATTTAATCTTCATGGAGCGGCAAAAAGCTGTGTTGGAGGTGAATAAATTCAGGCAAACAACAACACAACAACACAACAGACAACAACACAACAACACAACAGACAACACAACAGACAACAACACAACAGACAACAACACAACAACACAAAAGACAACACAACAGACAACAACACAACAACACAACAGACAACAACACAACAAGACAACAACACAACAGACAACAAGACAACAACACAACAGACAACAACACAACAACACAACAGACAACAACACAACAGACAACAACACAACAACACAACAGACAACACAACAGACAACAACACAACAGACAACAACACAACAGACAACAACACAACAACACAACAGACAACAACACAACAAGACAACAACACAACAGACAACAACACAACAACACAACAACAAGTCTGTTGTCAGATTGTGTTCTTTTTCCATTCAGAGGAAAATGTTTCAACTTTAGGTTTGACGAAGTTAAACAACAAACATCAGCTGCAGATGTGACATGAGTGAATTAATCTGAAGAAAACAGTCAAAAGCCATGTTCTAGATTTTTTAAGTTGACTCCTAATGTCATTAAGTAAATTATTTCTTAGAAATGTATTTACTGCACTGCTCCTTGAATTACCACCTTATCGTGGTGGAGGAGTTTGTGCACCTGAATGATCCTAGGAGCTCTGCTGTCAGGGGCAGTTATAATTGTCCCGGGTGGGGTCTCCCAAGGCAGAGTGGTCCGAGGTAAAATGGACTATACTTATATAGCACCTTTCTATCTTATTTCAAGATACTCAGAGCTCTTTACAACAATCTGTGTCCTCATTTACACATTCATACAGCTCTATACTAGATCTCTACAAAGATTAATCAGAGCTTTATCACATTCATTCACTGATGGACACACATCAGAGGCAACGAGGGGTTCAGTGTCTTGCCCAGGGACACTTCAGCATGTGACTGCTGGTGGATTCGAACCTCTAACTCTCGCATTGGAGGACGACTGCTCTAACCACTCAGCCACAGCCGCCCTCAGGTGACAGGTGTGAGGTGACAGGCGACAGGTGCAAGGTGACAGGTAACAAGTGACAGGCAGCAGGTGCGAGGTGACAGGCGACAGGTAACAGGTGACAAGTGACAGGTGACAGGTGTGAGGTGACAGGCGACAGGTAACAGGCAACAGGCGACAGGTAACAGGCAACAGGTGACAGGTAACAGGCAACAGGTGACAGGCGACAGGTGCGAAGTGATAGGTGACAGGCAACAGGTGACAGGTGCGAGGTGATAGGTGCAAGGTGATAGGTGACAGGCAACAGGTGAGGTGATAGGTGACAGGCGACAAGTGCGAGGTGATAGTTGACAGGTGATAGGTGACAGG